ATATATATATATATATATATATATATATATATATAAAGAATCACTTTTATATATTGATATAAATTTAAAAATAAAATAAAAAAAACTAACTCAACGACCAAAATATCATAACGTTTACAAATGATATTTCCATTTTTTTTTTCTCTTGGCTCGCAAAGAATGTTATCATTAAAAATGATTTAATTAATAATTTAGTCAGCTTTCATGATTATGTTCCATTACTTTTTCTAGTTTTACAAAATCTTTATAATACTGTTTAGATATAAAATAATTATTTGACAAGATTAAAGTCTATCAACTTCTAAAGTTCAAATTCTTTATTATTGAAATCAATTATGTATTTAGGGCTTAAGCTGTGGCTTTGACTAGTAAAGTTACGCATGCAGTCATGACATTGTCAACATTCATTTTTATTATTTAGATTGATTTGTACCTTCTTACATCCTTGTAGTTCTTTTGATTGATAACATCAAATCTCCATCCAACAAAATATTTAAAAGCAAAATAAATATAAATGAAAAGCTTTATCACACGTGTAAGAGACATTATATAACAGGATGATAATACAAAGTACAAACACTTAAAATAGGATTTTTATTTTTTTATTTTCAAGAACTCGTTTCATGATCAAACTAACGAAAATTATGTACTTTTAGCTTTTAAGAAACGAAAAAAAAAACTCATTATGACTTAATATGTAATTAATTTTTTTTTTTAAAAAGCAGTGAATTAACCTACTAATTTGTGATGATTGAATCAGATTAAAATATTTCTAATTCATCATAAAGTGAGTCAAATTAGGGAAACAAAATGTCTGTTTTATTAAATTATCCTGACTTATTTTAATATGAGTTATTATATATACAATAATTTGTATAATATCATTCTTGTATTAATTTATTTCTTCATTTTATTTATTACATTTATTGATGATGAAGAAAGATAGACATAAATTATATAAGATGTACGTATAATCTTTTTAGTATTGGTACATGCTTAACCCTAATCGAAAAATGTAACACATGCATCATGCATGATTTGTGATTGATGAAATAAAAAAAGTTGCTGCAACTTCAAATATGTTTTGTCAATAAAGCAGGGAAATTCCCAGCCCAAAGCCCAAAGGATGAAGCCCAAAAGAAAATATCTTGTACATGATAGCAAAGTCCAATATATGTATATGCGTGAGAAACTTTTTTTTGGTCTTGTAAACCCAAAATTATTTATTGCAATTTTTTTTAAAGAAATATGGTTACAAGAAAAAATAAATAGTTATATCGTTCATATGTGTTATGGTGAAAATTAAATGTTTGAATATCTTAATTTGAAATGGTTATTTTTTTTCTTTCCAAACACTTCTATTTGAAATGTTATGGTGTACAAAGTTATTTTTCCTGAAATTACAGTATTAAATTTTAGATAATTATTATTATTTTATAAACGACGAATAAAATAGATCAACGCTTTAAAAGAAATTAGTATCAAACGAACATGACACCCACAACGGAGCCAGGATTTCAATACTGGGGGGCCGAGAATTGGAATGATCAAATGAGGCGCTACATTTTTTTTAAAAAAAAAAAATTCCAAAGTGATACCACATCAGGGACGGAGCCAGGATTTCAATACTGGGGGGCCGAGAATTGGAATGATCAAATGAGGCGCTACATTTTTTTTAAAAAAAAAAAATTCCAAAGTGATACCACATAGCAGGCCGTACCAGAAGTCCAAAAGTTGAATAAAAAAATAAATTTGGGTTATTCATTTAATTATACATATGAGTTTATATTAAAAATAGGGGGTGCCATATAGTAATATATATGTATATAAAAAAAAATTAAAATTGTTGGGGGGCCGTGGCACCCGTAGGTCCCCCCTTGGCTCCGTCCTTGACAAGCACAACCATTTTGTGACGATGTTAGCCTCCGGCATTGGGTTTCTCTCACATTCTTTTCAACGCAAGCTTTGCTAGAGCAAGTTGATTTTAAACTTATTAAATCTTCCAATTCATCAAAACCAACATAAAATAAATTTATATAATTAATAATAAAGAGTATGTCATTATATTTTCTCATGCAAAAAAATCGACCGTAGAAATCTCCAAGGCTTAAAATCTTAGGTTCAAGTTCCTAAAAAATACTAATTTAAGGACTTAAGAGAATGCAATCATAGATTTCATATAATAAAAGATTATTAATTTTTATAGTTACTTTACAAGTCATATTGAAAATGATTTTTATTATCAAATAAATTCATTTCAATTGATTGAATAATTGAACATATAAATAATAGAATATAATAGAATAGAGTATTCAAATTTTTATATTTCATTTTTTTATAGGTTATTCGATTTATTATATTATTTGAATTTCATTGTTTTTTTTAGCTTCACAATATTCCATCATATAAGTACAAGATGTAAACTTTTTCCAATAGAAGAAGTTTGACCCCTCTCTAATGTGTTATAGGAGTTACTATAAACTGGATGACAATCAAAATGCGCTACCTACCAAGAATTTGGTTTGGTTTAATTGGCTGAAGTGTGTCTAAATCGATGACATGCATGTTTAGTTCCACCTCTACGATTTAGGATTAGACAAAAATTACATCAAAATTAATGCAAAAACAATTAATTGTTGCTTCCATCAATCCATATTTAACTAAAATTAATATGAATCCAAATATGCACCTAAATTGTAAATTCTTTGGTATTGAATTCTATTATGATGTATTAAAAAAAAGGAGAAAAAAAAAAAACTGACCAAAGTGAGTGTTGTTCTGAATTCTGAACTGAGCTGAAGAAATTGAATTGAAAAAAAAAGTTAGCATCCACCAAAGCCTGGACTCATCTTTATTCACAACATTATCCTGTGTTCCTAAGTATTACCTTTCCATTATTAAACACCCCACCTGGGCTAGGCCCCCTCCCCAACAATACCAACAGAACCAGAGTCCCTACCATGCAATGCAATTCTTACATGGACCCCAAAGCTTCCCACTAACAACCCAAAACCCCCACCACCACAACCATCATCAAAAGTCCACATTATTATCTATTTTCAGCCACAACATTTTGCATAATTCTTCACAAAAGGAGCCATGTACTGCATTGAAACTGCTCACTGCTGAATCTGAGTAGCTTTAACTTATTTTTTAATGTTATTTTTAGCCTTTTGTTTTGGCTAGTGGCAATAGGATCATTGCTTTGTCCATTTGTGTTGCATCATGGTGGTGTATGACCTGACCTGACTCAACCTGATATCATATCATGTCAAGTTTATCAACCATCAAGACTCAGCAGCTTGAGGAGAGACATCATGAGTGGTGGATGGTGTAGCGGTGGGGGACACGAGGCAAAGTAAATGGCCCCAACTTCCAGCTAAATCTACAACTGTAGTTGTAACCTGAGGGAAATTTGAAAAACAAAATAATTACAAGAGTCAACAGGTAGTTGATATGTGACTGGCCAACACCATCATCATCATCAAAACTATTATTATGTGGGACTTGGCGGTGGAGCCGGTCGCACACATCAGCGCGGTTTAGAAGGGGAATAACCCTTGTTTCCAAGAGGGATGCTGGATATGCCTTGTTTGGAGAGCTCAGCCAACACACTATCCATGGAAGGAGGTTTGAGTCCTAAGGGCAATGGTAGCCATGGCTTGCTCATTGCTTCCTTCACAACCTTGTCTACCACCTCCTCTGCCTGCATGCATGCATGGAACCAAGGCATTAGACTAGTCCATTCCCATGCAAATTCAGTTACAACAATCATGTGATTCAGCACTCAAAGAACATTGATCAAAATCTAATACATGTCCAATTAAGCACGATTGGTCACCTGGTACTCTAAAGAGTTTAAAAGAGCTTTCAAGAGTTTTTTTATTGAAAAAAAGGCTCTTTATTTTTTATCCTCAAAATTTCTTTTAAACTTGTATTCAAACAGACTCATAGTACTTTGACAAAAAAATTATATGACTATGGTTATTTTAAGATTACACATACTTGATACAAAATACTTGAAATATTTTCTCATCTATGTACCTTGCTAGGTATTGCAATTCTGTCAAGTAAAGAGCACTAAAATTTTCTTAATATTTTTCAACTTGTGAAACAATTTGATGATGACATGGTAGAAGGAAACTCAAACTGAAAAGAATGTACAGCATTACCGGATGATGCTCAAAGGAACTTCGTGGCATACCAAATCTATAATCCACAGCTTTAGGATTGTGCAATCCAGGTATATTCTGCAGTTTGATGAGAACATTTAGTTAGCATTACTCTGGCAAATAATTTAATTAACTAGAAAAGAAATAAACACAAGTGGTTATGTTAACATATAGAAATAGCATTGAAACGGAGTTCAAATGTTCAATTCGGTGATACATACTTGATTGTAAGGAAAACAAGGAGCTTGAGGAGGTGGAAACATTGGGCATCCCCAAGCATCCACATGCACCTGAAACATTAAGTTACTAAATATCAAATTGCATAAAATAATTTCCACATAACAGACCACAAAGCAACTTTGTTAATAGTAATACAAAGGAACTTATATCCTGCTTTGATTCCGAATAAAAAGATTACCCCTGGATAAGGCTTCCAGTGCCAACTTTCTGTAGGATGCCACAAGGGATAACTAGGAGGGCCCCAAATTTGTACACCAGCTGTTTGACTGCCAGGTTGTCCCCACATAGGATATATAGGAGCTGGAGAAAGGGTGTGATTTGTATGATATGGAGGGTAAGCCATTATTGGTCTTTGCATATAATAGCTCCTTTGCATAGCATCTCTTTGATTAGGCCATTTTCGATCATCATCTCCAGGTGCACTTTGTCGCTTGTGTATTCTATATTTCTGTTCAACATTAAGCTGTTACTAAATCATATTATGAGGACATATTATGGTTTTTCTTTACTATCAGAAAGGTGTTGAAAATAAAATAGTTGTTCTACTTGTAGCATCGGGATAAAAACTGATATCTATAACCAGCAAGAGAATGAGGACCTGGAGATGGCTCGCCACATTGTGCCTTGTCAAGCCGTCCACTTTCATGATCTCCAATATTCTAGAAGGAATGGCTTGATCAATACCTAGTTGTTCAACAGCCTTCACAAATTTTTTATGCAGCTCAGGCGTCCAGTCTACCTGAAACCAAAACCGAGTACCATAACTGTATTTAGATAATCATACCAGTGGGTGATTTGTACAGCCTTAAAAAAATGGAAAAATAAGGATAAGCAACAAATAATGCAAAAATATATGATTTTACAGAAATTACTGAAACTGAGACAGATTGAAGTCTCTCAGGTGAAATAAGAGTTATGGATAAGATGCGGTTGAAAATTTTAAAAAGTTCAATAACTATGCCATTTTCAAGTTTAGTAATCATTATGGATACGTAGATTATAAGTTAATGATCCAAGCTGCAGAATTTTGATCTAACCAAACAACGCATTCTATTTAAAACTGAATAATAGGAAAGGTGGTGAAGATCAGATACATGCTGCTTTATCAAGCTATTTCAGTAGGAAAGTCCATTGGAATTGTCCATTTAAGACTGACAATCATAAACCCTAATATTTGACAATTTCATTATAAAATTTCCTTTGCTCACTTTGTAATGAAGGAGAGATGTCCGGTAGATATGCTTTCATTAATAATTCAAAAGCATGCAGATACATCATGTTTGGAAGATTGATGGGTTAACCAAAATTTTGAAATAATTTGTAGTTGCATGTGCCAAACAAGTGCCAGTGACATCAACTTTATGAGAATGCATAAGAAAATTGCATAGGGCAAGGAGGGCAAGGGTAATGTCAGTGTCGGTATTTTGTAACTCCAAGGAAAGAGGTTTACATCATATAGTCTCGTATATGATAAGAACTAATAGTCATGATTCAACTTACTTTCATCTTCTTCCGATTAGCTTTAATCTCACACGAATCATTAAGTACACCCGTCTTATTTGGAGATGTATTGTGATCGGCATTGTTGAGAAGCTCTTTATTATGCGGATTCAGTGGAACAGTGTTTTCACTCTTGGAACCATTGGCAAAATCCTCTTCCTCCTTAATCAGAGTCTTATCAGGTTCCCTTGGTTGAGGAGAACTTTCAGCATTCAAATTGTCACATGAAGTTTCGACAGATTTACATTCACCATCATGCTCTCCACTTTCTTTTTCTGTTGAGCAATTAGTCTGCTCATGGCAATCTCCATCATCCAGTAACCTTGTCCCATGTTTTAATTGTGGGGTCGAAGGAGCCGGATATTTATCGCATACAGCAGACTGCTCATGGTCATTATCACTAAACCTGGACACATTCTCTAAATCAATTAGTTTCATGCTTTTATCTTGTTCACTGTCTGCTTGGTGCTGCAGCATGGATTCTACAGATTCTTTGACAGGTTTTAGTGATTCAGACAGGACATTTGCCCCAGCATTAAATGCCTGCTTGAAATTCAACCACATTAGGATCTACTTTATTCATAGTATTTTTTAATAATAAATGACATCATAAAGTTGTCAATACTGACAAACCTTGTGAACAACATGCTGCCAAATATTTTTGAGCTTGTCCTCAGAAAGTGGTTTACTGAGGAACTCAACTGCACCAAGCTAAAAGAAAAGAAAATGGATCACAGATTGAAGAGGTATGCATCAACAATGAGGAGTATATTATATAATCAGATATTAACCACATATATTTGGGATGACTAAACCAAAATCTTACCGCAATGCACTTCATCATGGTATTCAGGCACTGGTCCTTTGAAGTCACTACATGAAGAATAGAGAGTATCACTGGTTAGAAAATTTACACCAAGAATATGATAGCCTTAAAGTAAGCTTCTCATATTTCCTATGTCATGCTCCCTAGTAGATCATTCATCCATTTCAATTGATTAAGCTTAAATGGAGAAAAGAAGTTGCCAAATTATATGAAACAAAAACAATCAACATTCACAAAACAAACAAAAGAGTTAAAAAAATTGCAAGTATTACTATTTCTCTAATAAGTAAGAATTAAAATTGGATTTGAAAGAAACAATGATTTTCCTTCTTTTAAGAAGTAAATTTAGGTTGGCCTGCATACTAGACTGTTGACTTGTAAACACCATAAAAATGGAATTGTCCTTTTTTTATAGGAGAGGAGGGTGGTCATGAAAAATACAAGATAAAACTGCCAAGTTAGGCTGGTTCTGCACTTACTAATGGTAGGCAAGTCCTTTGCATTTTCAAGAAATTTGAAACCCCCAAGGCTACTGCTTGAACTCACCTACAATTCAGATAAATGCGCGTGGTTACAAATCACATCATCAAAAGCTAAATTATTTTAACAATGTAAAAGAGATTAATTGCAAGTTTAAGATATGACAACAGTAAGACAAAAAGTGTCATGATGATAAAAGTTTTCACTAATTATTAGCATTTTACAAATTGCAAGATAAATGACTCCTCTAATGAATGTATGTTTTACATTCTAAAGTTTGGAAGCACCTAACCATAATCAAGAAGAGATCTATCAACTTCTCAATATTCACCCATAAACTAGCATACTGACAACATCTAATTTTGTTTATTTTCTGTCCAAGTTTTAAAACTATAACATATGGTTTGTCATATATGCTGAAAATAATGTTCATTACCTCCACTATGGCAACATGGAAGCCTTCAGGACTACTCGAGATTGCTGACAAGGCTTCATTCTCATCGAAGAAAGTAGAAACTGTACAGAAATTCTGAGGTTTACTTAACAAATTAAAGGAATAAACAAGAATGTACAGTAAACAAGGCTGTGGTAGTAGACAAAATGAATTCTGTGGATTTAATTATATTACAGTCAAATTATACTCGGGATGGTTCTTGAGATTTAATTTCAATTACACTTGGATTTGTGGAAACTTTGGTTCTTGAGATTGAATTTCAATTACACTTGGATTTGTGGAAACTTTGGTTTTCCATAATAAATGGCCCATCTTAAGCAGCCAACTAATTCAGATTCGCTTGGAGATTAGGAGCCCATCAAAATCCAAATGCACCAAAAATAGAATAGATTCAGTAGTTGATAAAGTAAGATAATTGGCCATTCTTTTATCCTCAATACCTTTAGAATTTGGACCACTTCCAGTTTTCAAAACACTTAGGGGCATATAGCCTAAAGCACAAATGAAAAGTTTTACACCTTAATAAACCATCTAAAGAAAATACCACTTATGATAACATCAAGCATTGAGAAAGGGCGCAAAATCTAGAAATTTTTCTGACCTTCAATGAAATAAAATCCCAGGCCACAATTTTTCCCAAAGAACCAAATAAGGGCTATCTAAAGCAGTGCCACTTTACTAGATGCCATTCTACAAGATGGGGGACCAACTTTACCCACTAATTAAGGAAAGTGAGATCAGCTAGGCCGTAATGTCAAGTGGATGAGGAATTGAAGCATGCCAAAAAAACAAAATTAAGAGGGGATCCAAAACTTCTCACCATTATAGTCCATGGCCTCAAGTTGTTCTTTTATCTCAGCAGCAGAACTACTATCTCCTTCAAGCAGAAGAACCCTAAGTCCTTTTGGGAAATCTTTCCATCCTTGTAAATCATTGGCAGTGCAAACCATAGCTGGTTTGGCATCGTCACTCAGTCCCCCACTGATGTAACAGATCAATATTGCCTATCAGCACCGAATTCCTTCTGCAAGATCCATGAGATCACAAGCTTGAATTTTGTCTCTTCCACAGAACCCAGAAAAAACAAAGAAAAAAGAGAAGCAGAAAATACACAGAAACTTAAACTTGTTCAGATAGTAACAAAGCTTTCAAATGTGGAATGCTAACATTAACATGACATCTAAACTCAGAAGTTAAACCCAAAGGAGGTTCAGTTTGAAAATCATAACTTCTGATCATTCTTGAAACAACTCCTAAATCAAAAAAACAACAGATTCCCACTCAATTTTCCAGCACATTTCCTCCAAAAAAAGAAAACCAAAACTTGTACTTCTGCTTTATAAAGATCTCATCTGCAAATGAAATGAAACCTTCACACAACAGTTAGCAAACAAAGACAAACGGTAAGATCTTCAATTATCACTGGAAAACTTGACAAAAACCGCGTCAGGTAGCAATACAAAACCGTGAACTAACCCAGAAAAGAAGTAAACAACCCAAAGTGACAAACATGACATGCCATGCATATATTATAATCCAAAAAAGGCAAAGAGAAAAGAACACAAAACCAAACCAAACCAAACCAACCAAGTGAATTCTCAAAAAAAAAAAAAAAATGAACACATGAACCGAGGGAGAATCAACATGCACACAAAAGTGGTTCTTTTCCAAGCCTTTTTTCTCGTTGTACTACCTTGGTTTAAAAGAAAATGCCCCACCAACTACTCTGGGCAAAGTTGTTTTCTTTCTCCTCGTATTTCATTGAAGACAAACAAAGCAAATAGAGAGAGGAAGAGAGTAAGGAGGTTTAACTACGGTCGTTGAAGGGGGTCTGTGACTACTGAACAGTTGCCATCGGTGCTTAACAACCACATAATATGCAGAAAATGAGTCTCTCACAAAGGTCAATAAACCATTCTGCCACTGTTTAAAGCTTCATATTCCAAATCTACCCTATTTTTTTGCCATTTTTTCTATCAAAACAAAATCATGTCATTTCCTATTTTCAGTTCAAAATAATACATTGTTTTCACAAAATTTGAGACTTCTTATGTTTTAAGTTTTAACTCAAAACGCTCTTTTCTTAAATTATGAAATTTAATACTGTTTTTGTTTCTTTAAATTTTGACGCAGAAATACTTTGTTCCTGCATGTGCAATAAATTTTGTCTATCTACCTCTTTCTGCCTTGCATCATTACGACATAACCATTAACATATATTTTTCTTTCATTTTCTAATAATAATAGATGTATGAATTACAAGTAATAGGTTACTCTTGGAATTTTGTTCGAGTGCATTTTGTCCTTTATGTCATCAACAACAGGTATATTCAAAACTTAGTTTTTCGAGGAATACGATCAAAATGAATTGTAGTTAAAAAATCAAAAGGAATCAGAATAACACTGAAAGATTTATATAATGATTAATGAGAGAATAAAGCTTAATATAACTTTCATACTTAAAAATTAATTACACGATAGATACATTTTTTTTTATTACATCTTCCGGCCATTTAAATAACTAATTATTATGAAGCGGGGAAAATAAGGCAAACAATTTTTTTTTATAATTACTTTTAAACTTTGTACAAGTTTTTCAATTTTATCTTGCATTTTCCTTTTAATTTTATTCTTCCTAGAAAAAACTTTTTTTTTTCTTCATAGTTTTTTAAATATAATTTTCATTATTAATGTTTTTTTTTCTACTGCATTAATGTTTAGCTGTTTAACTGGCATTAGAAAATTGGTGAAAGCTATATCAAAGGGCTTTGTGGTATCAATATGCAAAGCAGGGCGAGAAAATAATACTGTAAAATGTTATAGCACAGACAAAAAGTTTTCAAGTCAAAATTTTATAACACAGAGAGATATGGTGTATTTGGAAAAAATCAACACATTGTTAACTGAAAGTTAAAATCTAGATAAAGCTCAAAGTTAATATGTTAATTTTTTTTTAACATAAGAAGAATGAAGAATAATTCTGTGTCAAAGACATCTAAATAATTTTTAGCTGGTTTTATAGCCAAATAACAATAAGGTAAAATGTCAAATTTCATGACATATGTATAGAGAGAGTATGTGGGGGTGCGATAAGCTTAGGCTAAAAACGGTAAAATAAATAAATAAATAAATAAAGATAAATTAATTGAAAAATGATTTTAAAATATTTAATTTCATTTAGATATAATATAAAAAACAGTTTTTATATAGTAAAAAAATCATTAAGAAATTATGAGTAATGTTACACATACTGCATTTATCTCTCTCCGTCATTAATAATATTTTTCTCTAAAGAAAGATGGACACAAAAAATAATATTATATAAATTATTATACAGTTTTTTTTATTAAAAATAATCATAAATTTCAAAATTTTAACTTCATGAAAACAGATTAATTTTCAAGAAAAAAATTATTTACAAATTTAAATTATTATCCTAAACATACGATTTTTTTAAAATAACTTTTATCTTAAAAAAAAAAGAAAAAAAAAAAAGAGCTTATTCCTCCCAAACACCCTTTTAGTGGATAAGAATTATGATTTATGAGTCGTTTAATTGTGAATCTAGGTAAGGTGATTTGCGAAACTTGGAAGTTTGGGGAATTTAGTCCGCAAGTTTGAGGATTTGCATATTAAACTATTTATTTGCATTAAAAAATTAAAAATTTGCTATTAGTTTTTAACTTAAAGATAAAAAGTAGTTTTAAATTTTGGATCAACACGCAAGTAAGATACTTTACAGGAAATAATAGGGGGGAAGTATACAAATTAAACTACAAGTTAACCATGTACAAAAAAGAAAATACAACTTAACCCGTTTAAATTCAAGTAATATTTTTATCTTAGCAATTTGAAATGAAAAATGGCAATGATGCAAATTCAAGTACAAGATACATAATGCCCAGCATTTCTAGCAATCCAAATTAAGAATTTTATACAAAATATTCAAACTTTTTTTTTTTAAATCATGATATTCTTAGTAAACAATTAAAGATTGACTAATCTCTTAAAATATTAAATTCATTTAAAAGATTGACTTCTTATAATAAATATTTTTTCATACATCTTTCATCACATTCTTTAGGAGTAAAATAAATTTATTTATCAATTAATACAAAAAACTTGTTCATCACCCAATACACATGATTCTTCTTTTTTTCTTTTACATGGTTAATTACCTAAAAGCAACGTACATTACACAGCATTAAGTTTCGTTGTTTAGCCATTGATGTAAGGTGTTTAATTACCAACTCCCAAATTGAATTTGCCCCACCCCCCAGAAAGGTGCAAAAAAAAGATAATATTTTTAGCTGGGTACAGTGTTGTCCTCAAAAGGCAATAATCACTAATTTGTTTCCACTAAATGGATGAAACAATAATTGCAAAAAGAAAAGAAAAAATTATATGACTTTTGACCCAACTTAACAGTGTTTTGCTATCCTATTTCGTCCCATGTGAGCATCATGTGAAATTTCTAGCAAGGGACCTTTCCCCACAAAACACCAGCAGACTTTTCTTGAAATCCAATAAAACTAATCACGTCTCATAGACCAATATCAATGTACAAATTTGACTCTCAGGTGCACATGTTATTAATCTTGAAATTGATGGATATGACACATGATAAGTTGTGGATAAATGTTATATCAGGAATTCAAATCCTGCTTTATTTTGTGTATACAGTCGTGTTAAATTTTGGGGTCAGCTATCTCATCTTTTAAAGTGTTCCCAACCTAATAAGAAGATTATTCATTGTTATCGGAGTAGATACTCTAGGAACGAACCAAAAAAAATAATATGATATTGTAAGTCAATTAATTAGGGAAATACGGGACAAACATAAACCTGTTTTAATGTAATTTGTAGTTTAATTACAAGCTTACTTGTCAATTGTCATGGGTAGAATAAGGGCATTTTGGTAATTGAACGAATGGCTGCTACTTGCTAACCCAAACTTGAAGAGTTGCTTAAGCATGTCTAATGAGTTAGTTCGTTAATTAGAATATACGTTAATTGTAGTAATCACATGCACCGGCTTCCACTTCACTTATAGAAACCAATCACAATAAGTTTGTAGTTGAAAGTTGAAGGTTGAAAGTTGTAAGTTGTATCCATCAAAAAAATTTAATGTAGAGATTATAATTATGTGACTTTGTTACCCTATTTTTTTTATTAACAATAAAGTCACTAAATTGAGGGGTTTAGCTTCTATGATATAAAGTTGATTTTCATAGGTAAAAAAATATATAAAAAAGTCTTTCTAAATTTCATGATTTTGTTAGTATCAAATGATGATGTAATAATTCATGTGGTGCTTACATTATGGTATTGTGATAATGACGTGACATGTTGAGGTGATGCGCAAAAATAGAAAAGAAATTCATAAAGTAGATGATTTTGTTGTCTCAAATTTTTGTGATCAGTTTAAAATCAAGTTCATCCAAATTTAATAGATGTTATCAAAATTACTTAATGATACGATAATATATATATATATATATATATATATATATATATAAAATTCATCAATCCTCTTAATCCAGGTTAGGTGGTAATTTACAGTTGAAAGCATAAGTTACCAGCCAACCAAGATTTACAGAATTTTCCCCTTTACGCTTAGTTC